CAAAGGAACCCAAAGAGAGGAAACCAAGGGGACAGAGGGGACCCAAAGAGCAGGAAGCAAGGGAACCCAAGAGAAAGTGGTTGCGAGCCAGCCCGTTACCAAGAACCCGTCTGCACACCCTAGCCTGTGCCTGGAGGCACATGGAGGCGAGGAGCAGGAGCACGATGACAGCAACTGCTTTCATCTTCCACTGTACGCTGGGAGCTGGGTGAGGCTGCAAGAAGCCAGGGCTGCATTTATTCTCTTGGGACCCCCCTCACGTTCCAAAATGCCCCTGGGCTTGGCAGAGTCCCCTGGCACAGGCTGAGCCTGGCATGCAGCCAGCCCCTACCTTGGCTTCAGGGCATGGGAAGGAGCCAGGGATCAGGGGAAGGGCACTAAGTGCTGGGAACCCAATGGCACCGAGCCCCAAAGGGGGGAATCCTAATATTATGCCCGAATCCCAGAGTCCTCTTGTCCTAGAATCCCAGAAGAACTGAAGTTGGAGAAGACCTCTGAGAACATCAAGCCCAACCAAGGATGTGCCATGCCATTGTCCCCGCACCTACTCCCCAGCACCACAAGCCCGGGGCCCAGCAGGGTGACATGATGCAGATATGGTGACATGTCACAGGTTGTGGGTTTAGCGGTGGAATTGGCAGCACTGAGTTTACGGTTGGATGACCTGAGAGGTCTTTTCCAAGTTAAAAGAAGCCATGATTCCATGCTCAGCTGCTGGCTGAGCAGCCTGAGAACCTCGGACCCCATCACACTTTACATTTCAGCATTGTACAGTTACAAAGAACTTAGGATTCCTTTTTAGGAATCATCAAACCAGCAAAGAGGGTTTTCCTGAGTGGAACCTTTAATGTGAAGTTACTACCAAGTATCACCCACCTGTTTTGCCTTTATCTTAAAAACAGTCTTCACCTCACCTAAGTGTGATGTCAGTCTGTATTTAAATACAGCAAATAACACAGCACTGATAAGCTCCCTGACAAACGCTGCAGAGCAGAAGCAGCCCAAAGGAAATTCTTCCAGCTGACTGCTCTCTGGGCAATTTCCAAAGCAGACATTCAAGTGATCTTTTCAGAGCACAGCAGCTCTCTTATCGATGGGAAACGTCCCACAAGGCCGTGACCAGCTATCCATTCTGCCAGACATGACACTTAAAATTAGCACACCGCTTTTCCTTGAGGAACCGTTGAGCCATTTACAGTTCTAAGCCATTTATCAGTGTTTTATTATTTCTTTTCATCCGGATAAAACAAGAGTCACTTTCTTTGAAGCCATGACAGGAGGCTGGACCATCACGGGAACAAAACCAGTAGGACACCTTTTGTTCTGCTGAAACTCAGGCACACAGCCCAGTGACTCCAAACCCCAACACAAATTTTTGATTGCCTGACTGCGTGTCCTAAGGACAAATTGTCTCCTGATGAGACTGTAGGGGTCTTGTAACACCAAGTGACTCCTTGACTTTATAATTCTACAATACTGTGATTCTGTGATTCTGTGGTTCCATGATTTGTTCATTCTATGAGTCTAAGACCCCGCGATTCTGAGATTTCAAAGATCTAAAAGTCATGGTCTTTGGATTTTGCAGCAGTAAATGACAAGGAAACCCAGCTGCCACTGCCAGATATTTATTCACTCCCGATCTGCTTGGCAACAAGGGCGCTGAGTGGACACTGCCAGGGACGCGTGTCTTTGTTGCCCTGTATTCTGATGTCCCTGTCACCCACCTGCTTCTATGTGTCCCCATGTCCTGATACCTCCACGTCCCCCTGTCCTCATGTCCCCACGATGTTCCCGTATCACCATGATGTCCCCACTGTCCATGTCCCCATTGGCCTCTCACTTCTCAGTGTCCCCAGATGTCATGTTCCTAGGGCCCCAAGGGATCGGTCTCTCACCTTGGTGCCTCACAGGACTTGAGAGGACTCTGGCATACCTACTTGGACAAATCCTTGATATAGGGACAGCATCATCTCCAGGTGGTCCTGGAAGACAGAAGGCAAGTACCAGATGCTTGATTTGGTGGCTTGGGGCTCGGTGCCATTGGGTTCCCAGCACTCAGTGCCTGTCCCCTGATCCACGGCTCCTTCCCATGCCATGGGGCCGAAGTATGAGCTGGCTGCAAACCAGGCTCAGCCTGTGCCAGGGGACTCTGCCAAGCCCAGGGGCATTTGGGAAGTTATTCAAGAGTTAATTAACTATGGCTGAAAAAAGGACCTGGGCTCATGGTGGTTAGCCTTTCTGCCAACTCCTCTTCTCGAGTCCCCTCATCTCGCTTCACCTCCTGTCTCGTCTTGCCTTTTGTTTCGCCCCTTCTGTCCTCCCCTCATCACATCTCACCCTTCATCTTGCCCTATCTGGTGTCCCCTTCTGGAATCCCTGTCTGGTGTCATCTCATCTCACTTCTTATTGACCCCCTTCTGGTGTCCCATTCTGGCACCCCCTTCTCCCATCCCCTTCTCATCCCCCTTTGTCTCCCCTAGCCTTTTGTCTCACCTCTTTTGGATTCTCCTTCTGGCATCCCCTCATCTCACCTCACCTCTTTTGCCATCCTCTTCTGGCCTCCCCTTACCTCGTCTTGCTTCTTGTCTTGCCCCTTCTGTCTTTTTTTGTATTCCAGCAATACCAGAAGACATTCATTTTGTATTTTTTGTCACTGATGACACACTCCCTGGTGGTTCTCTCAGTCAGAAGGAGAATCCAGAGATGCTGGAGGAATACGCTCTGAGGCACGTGATTTGATGTCCAGGAGCTGACCTCGATGCCCCTTGTCTCGTCTGAAGCTTCTCTCCTCCTACCCTGTGGGTTCTGTGATCCAGCAGGGACCATGCAGGGACACACACACAGCAGCAGTGGGAACCCAGAGTCCTTTCAGAGGAGATCCAATTCTGTCATGTCCTACTAACGGGGCAAAAAACGTGACTCTCACATCCAGCGTGTTCTGATGGTAATAATGAAACTTAATGGTGCACGATTCCATGACTTGCACAAGGAGCATCGGGAAGGGAAGGGAAGAGAAGAGAAAGAAACAGGGGGGAGATGCCACAAGGTAATGGAAGAGAAAGGAGACCAGGAGGAGACACCCCATGGGAAGGGAAGAGAAAGGATGGAAATGGGAGAGATGACATAAGGGAAGGGAAGGCATGGGAAGGAAACTGTGGGGAAATGCCGTATAGGAAGGGAGGGGGACAGGGGAAATCGTGTAAGGGAAGAGAAGGGAATGGGATTGGGACTGGGAGAATTTGCCACATAGGAAGGGAAGAGAAGGAAACCAGGGTGAGGGGAAACAAGGGAAGGGGACCAGGGGGAAACGCTGGAACGAAAGGGAAGGGGACCGGTATGAGATGCTGCAAGGGAAGAGAAGGGAAGGAAACCGGGGTGAGATGATGCAAGGGAAGCGAAGGAGACCAGAGGGAGATGCAGGAAAGGAAGGGGACTGGGGGGAAACGCCGCAAGGGAGGGGAAGGGAAGGAAACTGGTGGGAGATGCTGCAAGGTAACGGCAGGGGACGGGAACGGGGCAGGGGAGAGACGCCGCAAGGGAGCTGAAGGGAAGGGGAGAGAGAAGAGAGCCGGCGGCGCCGGCGCTGACCAATGAGACGGAGGCCGGGGGCGGGGCGGTGCCGGCGCTGACGAATGAGAGGGAGGCCGGAGGCGGGGCGGTGCCGGCGCTGACGAATGAGAGGGAGGCCGGAGGCGGGGCGGTGCCGGCGCCGACCAATGAGAGGCCGGGCCTTCGCCGTTGCCCCGCGCCGATGGCGGCCGGCTCAGCCTGTGTGCCGCCGTTCCCCACGGCTGAAGCGGCGGCCGGGCGAGGCTCAGAGCTGGCGGGCCTCTGCCCGGAGGGACCGCGTGCAGCACGGCAGGTTCGGCTGCTCAGTGTGCGAGGCCGGGAAAGCTCGCGGGTTGCGGCTCCAGGGCGGGCAGAGGAAGTCACAGCACCGGTGCTGCTGGAACCCGCGTGCTGTCACGCTGCGTTTCCACGAGGACAGCGGGCCCTCCCCGAGGAGCCGAGGGCGGCTTTGCTGCTGTGTTCGTTACCCGATGAAGCCCGACACAGGGGGGCTGGGCAGACAGTCTTGCCAAAGAGGCCCGTGCTACAGCAGGATTGACAGCACGACTCCTTTCATTCCCCTTGAACCCTGGCCAGGCTGCGGGGAGAAAGCCACGAGGAGAAAGAGGGCAGCGGCTGTCCCCCCGCACCGCTCCGTACGTTGGTTTATTCCGTGCGAGAAAGGCTGGAGCTGCTTGCAGCGGCTCTGGACGCCTCACCGTGGGATGGATGCATTGCTGTGCAACTTGCCCATGGCTGGGAGAGGTTCTCCAGATCCTCACTGCAAACGGGGCTCCGCAGTGACTGCGGGTCTGGGTGATGGTAAAGTACTGAGGCAGTTGGTGATGTACCTCTCTTCATCGCTGAGCTTACGTGGCAATGAGTAGGCCCACTGCCTTGCTTATTCCTTTTTCTGTGAAGCTTCCCTTCTGGCTATAGACGCTGCCAATAAATATTATTGCTTGTGTTATTTTGTCATGGGCAGTAACATAAGCCTATCCCAAAGACGCTGGTGTCTTTCTTGTTCCTGTTGAGCCCATCGATTGTCACAACAGCATTAGCACATGGTGGCACATAACTTGGACATCAGCAACGTGACTTGAAAGGCCAGCATCGGGAACGTCTCCTTTGGAGAGAGACTGAGAGGTTTGGGCTTGTTGAGCCTGGAGAAGAGAAGGCTCTGGGGAGTCCATGTGGCTGCCTTTTAGTACACGGCGCCTCACAGATCACCTAGTTCCAACCCAGCCCCTGGGGTGCCGTGTCTGATTACATCCTGGAACAGATGAAGCTGAACAAGGTGGACTGGTATGCTGGTGGCCCTCACCCTGGAGAGAGGTTCACTGAGAATGGGGGCCCCGCAGAGCAGTCCCTCCCTGAGCAGCACACTGAGCAGCACACTGAGCCCAAGCCGGGTGCCCAGAGCAGCTTGTTGGCCAACTGGGAGGGAAACCCAAGGCCAGAGTTGCCCTGAACAAACGTTTGGCACATGCAGGGGCTTCGCTCTGCCCTGTGGTCAGAATGGGGAGAACCAAGGGAGAAATGGATGGGGGATTTTTTCTGGCCCTGTGCCAAGGATAGTCCTTGGGAATCAGTCCCAGGCTTAAGCCCTGTGCTGTAAATGCCTGGGCTCTTCTCTAGCCAAGGGATGTTGGGAAATACTATGCAGAGGTGACTGTCTTGCAGGGATCACAGATTTTTCCAAAGCTTTCCAGAGAGCCTCATCTCACCCCGCTGTCCATCAGGAGTGGGGAGGACAGAGAGCAGTGACCCCATGCTCTT